GTAGAAAGTGCAATAGTGCAATGCTTGCTAGCTTTTTTTTTCAAGACCATCTTGGAGTATGTGGAAGGCTAGCATATGAAGTTGATATTTTGTTTTCTCTCATGTAGGCCGAGACCGAAGAACTCGCACGTAAAGTTGAATGCCTGACAGCTGAGAATGTAGGACTAAAATCCGAAATAGGTCAATTAACAGACAAGTCAGATAAACTAAGGCGAGAAAATGTAGCCTTAATGGTATGTGCATGATCACCTTCTGGAATTTCTTTTATTTTCTTAAGAGGCATTGATTTCTTTCTTTTTCCCTGTTCCTGAGTAAAGAGTTTGTTAATTTTTTTTATTTATTCAATAAATTTTGTGGCAACTTATTAAATGGGTGGTTGGCATACAGGAGAAACTGAAAAATGCACAACTAGTGCGGACAGAGGAGATGGGTCTGAATAACGTGGATGACAAGCGTGCCGCGCCTGTTAATACTGAGAACCTGCTTTCTAGAGTTAACAATTCAGGTTCACACGATAGAAGCACTGAGCAAGAGGGCGAGGTGTATGAGAAAAAATCAAACTCTGGCGCTAAGTTACATCAACTCTTGGGTGCTAGTCCCAGGGCTGATGCTGTTGCTGCCGGCTGACCACAGAGCTCAGTTGACCACAATGAATGCTGGGTGTTAGTTTATCAGGTGAAGATCAAGTAACTTTGGCATAATACATAGGTTGAAAGGTTTACTGCTAACAATTTAGCCAGAGGGGTTGTAAGAGCAGAATGGGTGTTTGTTATCCATCTCTCTAATTTTACTTGTAATTTAGCTCCCTGATGGCAGAACTGATGTGTTTTTTGATAAAATCAGAGTGCTAGGGTGACCCCTTGAAAGGTATTGTACATTGAAGAGAGAAATACGGAGCCTGCTTAGGGAACTTATTGGAAACATGTAATTTGTTGTTTTAAGTTTTATTTGTAATTGTGATGTGGGAGTTGGTGTGATTTACGGATGAGAAATGTAGTGATTTGGGTTTAATGTTTTTTAATCAAATCTAAGAGGGTAGATTTAAAGAAATTAATTGTTAGTGGAGAATAATATTAAGAATTGATTAAATTCGTTCTTCTGAGGTCCACCAAGTCAAAAGGCCTCGCTAAGCATCATTAAACATTGTATAAAATGGACGTAAGTTGTGGTCTACCGGAAATAAATATGAAAGTAAAAGAAGCAGCATTAGCATGTGTAGGAAGAAAGTTGATGAAGCCGAGGGGACCGGGATGCCACCCGCATGCTTCGCGCCTCCACGTGATTTCCATTTTAATAATATTTTAACTTTTTCTTTAAACACGTAAAATTATTATTATTATTTTGTAAAAAAAGAAACACGTCTCTGATCTTCTTAAAATGTTTCTTTTCTTAACTACTTCCATGTTTTATTTAAATGGTGGGATTTTGAATTTAATCACAAACGTGTAAATTTTTTATTTTATGAATATATTATAAGATAATAATAATTAGTTCATAATATTTAATTTAATATAATTAAAATTTTATTTTATTGAAATATTGAAGGAATTAAGTTAGTTAATTTTTTAAAAAAATTATTATATTTTTAAATAAAAAAAAAGTATTGTATTTTGATTGTTGGATAGTAATAACGGATTAAAATTTGAGATAATATTTTTTACATCAAGAAAAACGTCAACTCTAAGCCTAACACGTGGAAATTTATTAAGTAGAATTTATTTTCTCTTATATAATATTTCTTTTAAGGCATGATTAGAATACTTGTTTTAGCTATAAAATTAAATGTCTTATTATCATTCGTGAAACAATAACTATGAGTGTAACGACCCCAGAAATTAAAAGGATATGTATATATATTTATTTTAAGTGCGGAATCGAAATAAAATAGATTATGATTAACATCCCTTACGCAATAACCAAAACGAATTAAAGTATGAAAGAATAAATTAACTTAAAGGAAATACTATGAATGAATGCTGTAAGGAAAACTAATAAATTCTTTGGCTTCTACTCGCCGTCTTCCTGCAGAACGGGCTCAGGAACCAAGTCCTCCTGATCTGAAATGGTTAAGTAAGGAATGAGCTACACTACCCCAGTAAAGACATCACACTATCTCACTGTCACAGAAGTAAAGGTTGGTAGAAAACGAAAACGACCAATAGAACATAATTTATAACAAACTCATTTATCAATAATAAAACCCTTTACTGTCAATCTACTTCGGTGAGATTCATAAAAACAATTTATGAAAACAATTACATCAGAAATATCATAAGATCACGCACACTCTGCAACATAACACATATCATGCTTTTGTATTTCAATCATCAGGCAACAATTTTCCTCATTTATCAGCCTACCAGTATCCATGGGGATCCATAGGGGGTCTCCGCTACACGTGAACCATTCACATTAATAACTTAATTCAAGGGCCGTCCCCATACCCCGTCCGGTATGAGGGTGAAACGGGCCGTCCCCATACCTCGTCCGGTATGGGCGCCAAAACACATAAAGTCTAGTCTCCATATCCCGTCCGATATGAGAGACCACGTTCCCGGTAGGGTTCCTTATGGACTCGGTCCATCTACCATCTTCCAGGATATCTAGTGAGGCTGTCGACATTATCCATTATCAATTCACATACCTTTTTACCATTTTTCTTAATCTTAATTATCCAATCAAATAGAAACACGTAAACCAGTAATGGACACTAAACAAGACAACACAACATCGAGTTCACAATAATTCAAAGCGTAATAAATGAAACTGTGATTCATGCATATGAAACCATAGGATAAACACATCAGACACCATACTGCATTCAAAACTGTAAAATAAATCAAACAATACCTGAACGAAAATATATCAAATTTGGGCTCCATTAGCAACCTCAATCAATTATACATATCTATTAATTCATAAAATACCGTTTTATCATTTATTAGGCTTTAATGCCGTGATAGAAAATAGGGTGAGAGATCCTTCCTTGTTTCGGAGTCTGAAATCGGGTTCTCACTGCACCTACGGGCAGTCCCTAGATTCCCTGAATTTTTCTTCGGAAACTGAAACACACTTCCGTACTTGCACATGTCCCGAAAAAATTCCAAATCAGACCCAGGGCCCTTTTGGCCAATTTTAAAATTCCGGCGACGGCGCCACCGCCCATGGCAGCGATCCGTCTCGGGTTGGTTGTTTTCGGTCGAATTCAACTAAATTTGCATTGGTTCCTGTAATAAAACACCCCTAGTGCCCTCGGTGGGCAAAAAAATTCCAGAAAACTGAGACTTACTGGCGGCGAAGCTCTCAGGCACGGCAGCTCCTCCGGCGTGAGTTGCAATTTGGTGTTTTGCTCCGGTCAACCTGTAGAGAAAAGGACGTGGTCACAGTGGTATAAAAATTATATCGAACGGGAAACGGGAAGGGCCTCATCGGAGGCAAATATCGAGAAAATCCACGGCGGCGCCGCTGGACTTCGGCGGTGTTTTTTGGCCAATGGGCTGGTGGTTTGGCTCGCCACAGGGAGGTTCAGCATAAAAAAACGAGCCAAGGGGAGAAATTTTACCTTGTTTGGCGGCCAGAAAGTCCTCCGGTGCGGCGGCGGGTGGCAGCGGCCGATTCATCCGGTGGCTGGGTCATCTTCTCCGGTAAGGGTTTTGGCGGCTAGGGTTTGGGGTTAGGTGTGGATGCGATTATTTATAACCCTCTCATTTTAATCTGAACCGTCCATCATGATTTAATCTGAACCGTCCGATCGCGATTAAATTGGAAATAAATCTAGACCGTCCATCGCGATGTGATTCTGGCCATCCGTGTGTGATTAAATCTAGGCCGTCCGAACGCGTGAAATCTGGGGCG